CATAATACTGCACGAATGAGAGACAGAAAGGCATATATCCTTTGTGCGCCTCAAAGAGTAGCCACTAGTCCACAGGAAGTAGTGTGGCTAATCTCCTTGAAATACTAGCTACAAATTTTATCTGTCTTTGTTTCTATGACGTGAATGTGTGAACTGATTTCAATACCTTATTTTTTGCCTAAATCTTGGCATTTGCAAAGCAATTGTTGGATATGTCTGATGAAGCTTAATTCAGCGTTTAGGTTTGCGTTTATAGACGGTTTTTTGTAATATCTATAAAATTCGATTGTTAGCAGATAAAATCAACTTTGTAGATCAATGTTGAAATGTAGACTTTCGCCTGTAGCATTATCGGTTTTCTCCTTTTCTTCTTATAAACTCCGGAATCAATTTAAATGTTTTCGAGAATGGGGAGGCTCGCGACCAATCCATGCATTCGTCTCGATCGTCTTCTTTTATCCAATTCGATCGACGACCGTCGCAGTTGGCGTAGTCGCGGATTCGTTCCGTTTTGCTTTCTTCGGCTTTGTTTGTTTTGTTCGTTTCTTGTCGTGGACCCATAATGTTATACAAAACCAATAATCTAAAATGAAAAATGCCCGCGGCTGCACTTGACAGTAGAAAGGAAACGAAACAAATTGATAGGTAAAATACATGCGCCATCAGAACACTCTCGCTCACTCCACCGCTGCAACAAATAATAAATCTTTTGCAGATGGCTATAAAAATGCACCAGTACCGGCGTCATAGTATGGAAGGTTGTATTTTCATTGGACGGGAAAACACACGTTACTTTTTTATATTCGGATAAACTGTTCAACGGAATTTGTATCAAAATGTTGCTTTATTCAATCCTTTCAGGTGTTTACTATTTTATTTGTTATTAAAAATAAAATTTAGAACATTTTAAAGTATGTGCAATACTCACGCTTTAACTTACTATAAAAACAATATATGTGAGACGGTAGATTGTCGGTAGATACTGAAAAGAGACAGGAGTCCACACCGATCAGTAAGGGTAATGCTCTAAATGGGTTTTTAGTAAATGATGACCTGCATATACCGTATTCCAGGAATTAGAAAGATAGTTGTAGTGCAGATATTGATATTATTTTATATTATCTTAATATATATAAATTACGTGTCACGTTGTTTGTCCGCGATGGACTCCTAAACTACTTCACCGATTTTAATCAAATTTGTACACCGTGTGCAGTTTGATCCAACTTGAAAGATAGGATAGCTTACATCTCAATTTATGATCGCAATATTCAATAGATGGCGCTCTGTCAAACTTCTAAACGTTTCATATAACCTACAATTTTAATAGCATAACCACCACATGTTGCCGAGGTTAAAGTATAGGTTAAATTTATTTTGTAGGAAACGAAATACAGTGAATTTTACTTTTTCAATTTTTGGTGTTAAAAAGCATGGTGGTGCCCATGTCTGATGTTCTCCTACCGTTTCCCTTAAATAGTTTACAACAATGTAATGTGACAAAAACGTTATCTACAGCAACGCAACGGTTAAAGACCACTCTCAACGAAAGGGTGTCTTTAGGTCCATTCCTTTTGTTTAAGTAGTTGTTCTGCTGGAAGCGTTTCTGGAAGTACTTTTGTACAGAAGAATTAATCCTGCCAATGTATGTCGCTTCAACAGAAGGAGAAGGACATCCTGCTAGCAATATGGAAATTAACGGTCAAACTGCGGCTCACTCCAAACTCCAAATGTTGCCGTTATTTTTATTAGTTCCAAATCGGTGTCCAAAACAAAAACGCGTTGCTAGACGCTGTAATAATTTCTGCAATAATCTCAAATTGTCCATCTTGAAAGACAAATGCTTTACTTATTCAATTTAGCCATCTAAATAAACTGGGGTTAGGGTGCCGTAAGTCCGAATAAAAAACGGAGCCCTTACAGACAGGATCACTCGTGTGTGTCCGTCTGTCCGTTTGTTTTTTAATTTTATTCTTAATTTGTATTCATACTCGGAAAACGAGGCATCGTACGGTGTATAGAAACTGCGATTCAATAATATTCTATATCGTAGTTGGTGGACTTTACACACAGAAAGTTGTCCTATACGTACGTACATATGTATTAATTGTCTGTCGTGGTAATAAATCAGACACAATACAGTCCATTCTACTGTGGCTACATTCATACGCGTGCATATACCTACATGCCTCTGTATCAATTTGCAAATGTACAGTACCGAATAGCGGAACGCATGGAATATATTATCCGAACAAACCTCAGGTAACCTTTGCCCCATTGTACAAGCAACATTAAATATCAATATCGGATAACATCGCATAATAATCCGTCAAATAGTTATGAACCATATGAAAGATCCATTGTTAATAGAAACAGTGTTCCATACTTCTATAATGTACAGGTAGATATATTCTATCTATAGAATTGCAAACAAGCCGCAAAACCAACAAAAAAAAAGAAGTGCGCTCAAAAGAATATTAATACCCATACTGTACACCCGGTACGTACATCGTAATCATAGGAGGCGTAGCAAAGCAGACAAAACAGTTGCGAATCAACCGTGCTCCAACGGCGACTTGATCCCACTGATTACAAAGCTTTTGTCCGTATTCTTCTATCGGGGCTCTTCATATTTCGACACATACACAGGTAGAACATAGGATAGATACGTAGTCATCCACGCGTGCCATGATTATAGTATAGAATAGGGCACTAGCGCCCTATGTGTCGGCTCCTTTCGCTTCTTTCCTAACGTTAATAGTGCCCTTCTTAAGCCAGATTGTCTCTTCCGATATCCATGTCTAAGAGAGAAGCCGCCATTGGCGATCGCTTCATCCACGGCCGACTGCGACTCAGACAAATACCTAAGAACCTACAGATACATGTGCCCTCCTGATCTTAGACCATGATCCGTTTCGGATTTAAAACTTGCGGTCCAATAAACGTGCCAATTACGTATTGTGTCAAAGCTTGAACCTATTGAATGGCGTTCGCCGTGAGAAAATTACAGGGCCAATTTCTATTGGCGTTTTCGTGTTAATCCCCGTGAAAAACAACGAACGCATGAGTTTTTCGAAAAAGCGAAAGTATTGTGTTGTTAAATGCAATCGTTCGAAATGTAACCGATTGTTGCGCAACAATAGGTGTAATGCTTTTTTTCTATGGAATCCGTTTGTGCGGATAAACCGAAGTGAGATTTTTGTATCCCAGTGGGATCCAGGGTGGTAGGACTCCATATATTGACACATACGTTGATGCACTTTGCCAAAAAGTACTTGCCATTTATTTAATATGTAATTTCATCAATTTCTTTGAATTGCTCCTTCAAAAGAATGTGAATCAAAAACGCGCACTGTAAATACTTGTAGATATGCAAATTAGTTCGTCCGTCACGGGAATTGAGTCTCGAAGATTATTCCCGCTTTTTTAGACTATGTTTTAAAGGTAAAATTACAATACCTACTACAATTAAAAAAGTATTTTTCTTGTTAGAAGAAAAGGTTAGAAACGTTTGAAATGTGGTGTGGAGGCGAATGATGAGGATACCGTGGATAAAGAAGATTAGAAATGAAGAGATAGAAGGATTAGGTGAATAGAGAACTCTATTTATTTAGTAAGACATATGCGAGACATGCTAGAGGCAGAAACAGGAGTTAAAAGGAGTAGAGCTAGACCAAGATTTGATTACTGTTAAGGATGTGAGATGTTCTAGATTTAAGGAAATGCAAAGATTAACTCAGGATAGGAAAGAGTAGGATTGACGACCTTATGATGTGATGATGATGAGAAATACTCTACAAGTTCTGATTCCCTTCATCATCATCATAAAGTCGTCAGTCCTAAGACTACTTGGACACGCATCTCCTTCTTATCCTGAGTTAAACTTCGCAATTCCCTAAAACTAGAACAACCCAAATCCTTAACTATTTGCGAACACTAATCTAATATAGGCCTACTTCTACCCTCCTAACTTCCGTTTCTGCCTCTAATATGTCTCTGACTATCCATCGTATCATTTGATTGTGTGAACCTGGAAGTTTGATTTTTTCATATCTCTGAGGGATTGCAGACCCGCGCATTTAATATTAATTTCAACATTATACCTCCACGTGTTCTTGATAGAAAAGGTCTTGACAGGCAGACAAACTGATAACGGGGAGATCTTACAAGGATTCCTTTATCCTTTTGGGGTACAGAACCCTAAAGATATATGTATCTTTCATCAATCATTGAGTTGCCGGTCTTTCTTATTAAATGTGCTTCGAGTTTTATGCAATACTGTGCTATATTTTTAAATGAGGTTCGATCCAAATTGGTTTTCAGGATTTAAAACCTTATTGATGTTGGTGTACATAAAATTTTCGAAATTGTTAAAGCATTACCACTAAAATCTGTAGCAATACATTAACTTTTAATTTTGGCGAATATTGCTTTACATCACATGATGTCCTAGTTTGGAAAATGTCACATTTAGTACTATCAAGAAAGTTTTGAAACTCCAATGAGCTATTTGAAGGTTTCAGAGACTAATACAGGAAAAATCAGAAAGAAGCCATAATTTTCAAAAGAAAGTACTGATAAATAGGTATCAAAACGAGTCATCAGTCCAAAGAGTTGTTGAACACCCGTCTCCACCCCTTTCTATCTTGAACCAACGTAGAACAGCCCACATCACTAACTAATTGTGAACATTTTTCTAATATCAAGTCTAAGTCTACCTCTGCTCTCCTTTCCTCATGTTTCTGCCTAACATTCAACCGTTTATTCCTCAGAAGGTGCCCTGTCATATCCTCTCTTCCTTTGTCCTTATTGACTTTCATAGCACCCTTAGAGTGAATTTAGTAATTCATATGCTGGCATCATTTAAAAACGAATGAAAATGTTTAAATTAAGTTGTGTTCGGTGTTGTTATATTTTTGGCAGCTTACGTTGACTCATTGTTTAATAAAACCTCAATAGAAATGGATTCTCATTATACAATGAAATTCTTTTATTTCAGATATACGGAAAATCTACATAGCAATGAGATCATTCCCCTTGAGCAATGACATAACATCAATAGTTTTTACAGTTGACACATGCAAGGTAAGACACGATAATTGACATAACATCTCTTAATAGACAAATAACGCACGTCAACGTGGATCTGGAAACTAAAATTAGAGAATATATAATTTCCAGCATACATTGTGGTATAGAATTTGGCCTTTGAATTGCCACAGCAGATTTGGATTTTTTAATAACCGAACTTAAAATTTTAAAAAGTTTCGTTCTTAGCCCTTTTGTTAGAATTACTATATGAAATAAAAGGACAAAAAAATGAAGGAAGTAACTAGTTATTTTCGACTCATTTTTCGTCGTTAAATTAGGATACCTCATCAGTTACGCCCAACAGATTAAGATTTTAATATATTCCAATTCGTAAAAATTCAAAATTAATCTTTTTGGTTTTGAGATTGGAATATCTCAAATTTCCAGTACGCTAGAACTTTTCTCAGTATTTTTTAAACACACCGTTGAAGAATTCGTCGAAAATGATTACTTCCGTTCGTGGTTCTTTCTCTCATAGTGGCGTTCTTGAAGAAAAGCGGGTACCTTCTGAGAAAAGAACCCGCTACTGTGGCGGGTTGAAGACAAAAGGCACAGAGAAGATAATCTGGTTCCGTGTCTTTTTCAATTCCCAATTCGAATCTAGCTCCAAAACTGTCCCACAACATTGGCATTTCAAGTTATCTCAATCTCAAATCCAAGTAAGCCAAAAATATTTCAAAATTTTGATGTGGTAGGGATTCTAATTCATCATAAAGGACAGCTTGGATGCAGCTATACTCTGTTGATTGTTTTATCCTTTTGTTTCACGTACTAATCCTCTCAATTAAGCCAAAAATTCTACATTTCTTGAGGTTTAGGATTAGGATGTCTAAAAATCTTCATGTGCTGCTTAGGCAAATCAGAGGTCAAATTTGAACTATGTCCAAAATGAGTTTTTTCTTTTCAATGTTTGATTAGGTTGATCTGTGTAATCGATTATATTTTCTAATCGAAATATGCTAGCACAATCTCAGATGGTCGTAATTTGCGGTTAGTTTAGAATAAACTGATTCGCTTTTTTGGCCCAATCATAACAGCTATACCATAAATTATTATTCGTTATTAAATAACTTCTAATTTCGGTTCCCCTTCGGCTGGAGCACTCACTGCCACGTCCGCGACTTCCAATTTGGAGTCGAAATGGCGCTCGAAAATCACATCCGACTGTTTTATCGTTGCCCCCGAACGAAACGCAATATATTAGATGCATATATATATATACATTTATCCTGAAGCGGCTGTTGTAGCTCTCGACAATAACATTACGGCACACGCTCGTTGATAACTGCAAACGTAATCAGGTTATAAAACAATTTGTCCAGTCGGTGGCGCGTAAATATTGTGTTGTAACTCTATTAATATTTGTAGTTCTGTGGCTGGAACCTGAAGCTCAAGGGCCTTCACGTGGCGAATATCTTCTCTCGCGCTACTCCATCCCCCGTTGCTACACGCAAATGAAATTATCTTCTCTTATGCTGCGAAAATGTAACTGACTATTATACTACGTACCTTATCTATATATATCAGTATGTTTATCAAAAACAACAACAAGAAAATATTCAAAATTCTTTGTATTGAAACCCAAAGAATCGGATTGTTTCTTTCACTGTAAGGAGTAGGTATCCTAAACGAAAAAAATTAACAAATAAACAATCCTTTCACGTTATATGCGCCTGATTCGCAAGAAACTTAAGTGAAATATTACATCGACTTTATCCTGTTCAAAGGTGATTCTAATTTAGGTACTCCACATTCTTCTATTAGGTTGATCGAAATTTGGCATTTGTTAATGTTTATCATTCTATCGAAATTGTCCAGGCTTAGCTTCGTGGATCACAATTTCCAATTTTGGCTCTCATCGGCACCCCATTAAATATTGAAAGTTCCATCAAAATATCTACTAACAACGCAAAAACTACTATAAAACAAAAACCATTTGTAAAATGTTAACACTAGACCATGTTACAGTAGATCTCGTTGAGATTAATAAACTTCTTAAGAAAAAGCTACTAACCCAGTTTTGATAAGGTTTAAATGGAACCAGTTCAGGAGAATCCCCTTTCAAATCAAATAGGATCCTTGCATAAAAACTGGTCGTCATTTACGTATCGAATTGGCCGAAATCTGGAGTTTTTATTAATAATAAGTCCTTGTTCGGCATTCTCTAGAAGTTGTCAGACGTAGACAAGAGGATCACAATTTCCAATTGTTGAGTCTCATTGGCTCCTCATGAATCGTAGATAGTTCCAGCAGGATACCCATCAACAACGCAAGCAACTTTTCGAGAGAATCCTCTTTCAAATAAAAAAATAATCCCTCAAGTAAACTGCAGAATCTGGACATCGCTTACACATCAAATTGAGAACCTCCTCCTGTTATGATGTCATCTGAAAAGTGTTAATGACAAAGAAATGCGAGAAAATTACTAATTACATACGACTGAGCGACTTATATACCTAGGGGTATAGATTACAGATTAGTTTTCGAGAGGACACCTGTTCGATTCCGAGTCTGCATGTCCTGGACCAAATTTTAGGTGCTCGGGCAGTAATATTCAACAAATAATTTTTCAAATCTCCTTTGTCTTTATTTTATCAGTCTCATATGTCTTTCCTTAATCGCAATCCACCCATTCCCAAATAGATTTTCTCTCTACAGACCTTATCAGTACAAAAAGGTGAAGAAAGATTCATTATCATCATACGGTATTCTTCGTTTACTTTCTCTAGCGATGTGACCTTCAGTTTGACCTGCGCAAAGTAGAAAAGAACAGCACAAGGCCAGAAAAGGAAGGAGACAACTCTCGGCCAAACTCTTAACCGGTGAGGAACGTACAATCCGTACAGTACTGCACGGAAAAATTTTATCACCATTTTATCCACTACAATTGCATTGCTCAAATGTGCTGTTATTGGTACTATTTACTACTGAAAATATCAACGAGATGTATATTTATATTTGAAGACATATTAAAGGCTTTAACGCTTGTTTTCGACTCGCACTACTATTTGGCAGGTATGAAAAAGTAAGTTTAATGAACAAGAGTCGAGAGTATAATGAGCTTTTTTCTCCCTACCTACGCCCATCCAAGACATTGGAAGGGGCACATCGCTAGAGAAAGTAAATGAAGTATAGTTCTAGCGCGAAATTCCATGTATGTTTTTATAAAGGTTATCTTTCAGACTGTTTGTATTGTTTTATCTCCTCCACCTCTACTGTGACGTCACGACCATCAACCATCTTTGACAGCTGTCATCGCCAGTCAGAGCTTCGCCCCACTCGTTCTAAGGGTCTCTCTCTCTCTCGCCTATTCTTATTGACTTCCATAGCGTCTCCCGCTACCTTACTCTTTCTAATACCTCATCATTTCTTACCTTCTCTATTCGCGGTATCTACAAATGAAAGATTACAGCAAGTAGATGTATTCTGCTAATTAGTATGTTTGTGTTTCCTTCGAGAAACTTGGTGGCTTTAATTTTGTAGCAACAAAATTGAGAGCAATTTATCATCAATCTTGTTACCAAAGAATTCCTCAACCATGAGCAAAGACGACGCTCAACAGGAAGAGATTTGAAACGGAAGAGGGTTTTTCTAGCGCCCTGTTGTCATCCGGTAGTCGCATAAGAAAAACAGAGCAGCCAGCGGCCATGACGTGGCTTCTTGTTTTGCATGTCGGATGCAAGAAGTGGGAGAAGAAGAAAACGAAAAAGAATTTGCATTTCAAAATAGAGAGACGGTCGGGCGTGTGTGCTTAGAGCCATTCTCGGTCACATTTTAAAACTTAACCTAATGCATATATACATACATAAATCGTCCCTCATCTGAATAATAAAAACAGTCAGACATAAAACTGCCGTTAGCGTTAGACCGCACGTCGTGAGTAGAGTCGTCTGTCTGCCTGTATGGAAACAGAAACGTTAATCTAATAAAGTCGTAAAATATGAAGACGATTCCGTGAAAAATTCCATCTTAGCGATCTGCGGTGGCTTCCATACATACATTGTAAAACTGAAAAGCGAATCTTCGATTTCCCTTCCACATTGTGAACATTGGGGTCTTGGGAAAATAGAGGGCGATTCTGAAGCAGTATTCAGTTTTCCATCACGTTGTAGTAGATTGTTGTGGTATAATAGGCCAAGTAACCTTGAAGTGTTCATTGGAATTTTAGCCGGCGGTGGCGAAAGGGGGTAGTCATGATTTTGTTTCATCATCACGTACCTCCACTCTTTCCTATCCTGAGCTAAACTTCGCATTTACCTAAAACTAGAACAACCCACATCCTTAACTATTTGCGAACAGTAATCTAATCTAGGTCTCCCTCTACCCCCCTAACTCCTGTTTCTGCCAATAATATGTCTCTAACTAGACCTTCATTCTTGAGAAGGTGTCCTACCAACCTATTTCGCCTATTTTTTATTGACTTCCATAGAGTCCTCTGTTCTATTTCATTCTTCATTTCTAACCTTTTCTACCCACGTTATCCTCATCATCCGCCTATAACACCACATTTCGAGCGCTTCTAACCTTTTCTTTTCCGCCGCGCCCACTGTCCATGTTTCGCACCCGTACAACGCCGTGCTCCAAACATACATTTTGGGCAGAAAAAAGTATGTGTACATTTATTTACTTATACTATTCATTCTTTTATTTTTTTGTGTTCTATAAGAATGAAAAGTAAAAATTAACAAAGTAAAGTTCGGGAAAAACCAAGCATTATGATGGGTCTTCCGTAAATCAATCTATCCAAAGCTTCAGTGGTATCAGGCGTTTTAATCCCCCGGACAAAATATACCCAACAAAATATTCCCAGACAAAATATTCCTAAAACAATATTCTCATATGTCATTTTATTCAATAAATTTACGTATTTAATCTTAATTGACTTCAGTTTTTTATTTTGTTACTGAAATATTTCGTTGTCACGATATTTTGTCTGAATTTTTTTTATCCTGGGGATGTTTTGTCGAGGATTGTTTGCCATTGTATCAGATATC